GTGACAAAGTGAGACTCTGTCTCAAAAAAAAGAAAGAAAAGAATCCTCACAGCTCCCCGTGATGCAGGGGCTATACTTAGACACATTTTACAGTTGAAACTGACGCTCAGGGGGCAAAAAAGAAATTGTCAAAAAATCACACAGCTTATGGGATCAGAGCTGCCCTTACTGCCCCCACATCCTCATCAGTGACTCAGGGAGGTAGTGAGCAGGAAAAGAGACAGGGGCCCATCCTCACACCCCTGGTGACCTAAAAGCTGAGAGGAATATTGGGAATGTGAGCTGCATGCAGACTGCCCCATGCAGTTAGTTGCCCCCATGGTCCCCAGCCATGCCAACATTCAAGTAGAGGCTGGGCATTGCTGGGTGGACATTGGGCAGTGTCCACACTTCCTTCTCAGATGAGGAAGAGAAGGGAAGGGGTCCTCAGACCAAGACAGGCAATCTTGGAGTAGACTCTTACCTGCACTGATATGTCAGGAAGGACTGGCAGCCTTGTCCCTGGAGTATTCCTCTCAGGGGGGAAGGATGTGTCAATGGAAGCTCCAAGGTCCAGCCTGGGTCCTTGCTCATCCTCACAGGCGACAGCTGGCCAAGCTGGCCCTCATCTTCAGTCACATGTATTCGGAACTGTGTGCGCTCTTCCCCAAGGGAAAGTACTGTGGACACATGTACCAGCTCACCAAGGCCCCAGCCCACACCTTCTGGAGGGAGCACTGTGGAGCCCGGTGAGTGAGCACTTGCCCCCAGACTCCTTGGCTCTGAAAGCCCCATCCTGCTCCTTCCAAGGGACCCAGAAGTCCAGGCCTCCAGCTGGTTCCTTCCTGCCAATCCTCCCATCCTAGGCTCCCGGAGGCCTCAGCTCATCTCCTCCATTCCACCCCTGCCAGGTGTATGGTACCCTGGGCCGAATTTGAGTCACTCCTTTGCGCCTGCCACCCAGTTGAACCTGGTCCCACAGCCCTGGCCTTGCGTTCTACGATTGACCTCACCTGCAGTGGTCACGTGTCCATCTTCGAGTTTGACATCTTCACCAGGCTCTTCCAGGTCAGAGAAGGCTGAGACTGGGGACCTGGACTCTTAGATCCTAGAGGGAGGGGGCAACCTGGATCCCTGAGTCTGAGAGAGGAAGGGCTGGAGGTCCTGGACCCCCGGACCCCTGGGTCCAGGGGAAGGAATGGTCTGGGTCTTCTGTATAAAAGAGATATTCCTTAGGCCCACCATGGGTATAAATGATGTGGCTGGATTCTTAGACCCTGGGAGGCACTAGGAATGTGGGTGTTTCATTGGTCCCTTCCTGACCCAAGCCCTGTCCCACCCCAGCCATGGCCAACACTCCTCAAGAACTGGCAGCTCCTGGCGGTCAACCACCCAGGCTACATGGCCTTCCTCACATATGATGAAGTCCAAGCGCGCCTGCAGGCCTGCAAGGACAAACCCGGCAGGTGAGGGAGCCAGGCCTCAGGATGGTGGGGTTGTAGGGTCTCAGGGGCCTGGATCCTGGGCTGGTGTGTGGGAAAGCCCAGACATCCCTCGGAGAATAAAAACTGAGGAACCTGGGACCCCAGAGAATCAGAAACTCAGAGGGAGGACACTGAGTGCCCCTGCTATCCTACCTCTTCTCCCAAGACCTCCTGGACCTTCCCTCAGTTACCAGCTAAAGGGACAATACCTGCTCTGTCAGGGGGCCCAAAGACCCTCCCCAGGACACAGTCCATTTCTTTCTTTTTTTTTTTTTTTT